TCTTCAAACAGACTCGTCCAGGCCGTGGTATTTTGTGGAGGAGCCACACTCCAGGGGCCGAAGAGCTGCATGTGGCTCTCGAGCCGCAGTTTGCTGACCTCGGTGTGGAGGGATTACCTACAAAGGCCGTTTGGGGACGTTTGGGGACATCTGTGAAGCCCGGTGGCAGCAATGTGAAAGCAGCTGTTCAGAGACTGGCGGTGGCTGATGTTTACGTAGAGGAGGAACAAAAAATGATTTAAATTTTAGGGAGGAAAAAGCATCAACAAAATGGCACATCTATTTTTAACTTGGATACCAAAAGCAATTCTTCAAAATTCTATACTTGTTTTGAGTGTATTATTTTTCTTTCAGTTCCACAAACTCAGAAGCCAGTGCCTAGCTCACTAAAAGAAAACAGAGTATGCATAATATTTAATATGCTGAGTATTTCATAAAAAAACTGAATGCTGGCCGAAACCGGTTTGGCTCAATGGATAGAGCGTCGGCTTACGGACTGAAAGGTCCCGGGTTCAATTCCGGTCAAGGGCATGTACCTTGGTTTTGGGCACATCCTTGGGGGTGGGGGTGGGGGTGGGGGTGTGTGCAAGAGGCAGCTAATCGATGATTCTCTCTCATCAATGTTTCTAACTCTCTATCCCTCTCCCTTCCAGGGCATGAAGAACTGCATATGGCTCTCGAGCCGCAGTTTGCTGACCTCGGTGTAAAAAATCAATAAAATATATATTACAAAAAACACACACTAAAAAACAAAACAAAACTGAATGCTGCTATAAGGTGCTCTTCAGGTCTTTTTAAATCCCCTTCTAATGAATGAAACTAGGGGAATTTCCGGTGACAGAGGTCAGATTTGTTGTATGATAAATCTATGTAGTTTTAGTCTTTCTGTGTTGAAAAGCAGTGGTTGGGGCATTTTAAAAGAGGGCTGGCTACGCTTGTTTTCCTTCATGATAATAAATTTGTCATTATGCGGTAACATGGATTTGCCCCTACAGGTCATTGTTAATAATTTTGAAACATGGTCTTGCCAAAGTTCTAATGTCTCAAACCTGAATATTAAAGCAAGCCAGTCTAAACTCACTGGTGCAAATACCTTGGAGAAGTAATTTCTAAATATAAAAAGAGGTAATTGAACTGTATATATTGTACTCTGTATCACTTTCCTCACATTGGTATTTAATAAAGTTTTAATTTATATGAAACATTTTAAAAATATATTTTATTGATTTTTCACAAAGAGGAAGGAAGAGGGATAGAGAGCTAGAAACATCGACCAGAGAGAGAGATAGAGAGAGATACATCGACCAGCTGCCTCCTACACACCCTCCACCGGGGATGTGCCCGCAACCAAGGTACATGCCCTTGACCAGAATCGAACCTGGGACCCTTGAGTCCACAGACAGATGCTCTATCCACTGAGCCACACCAATTTCAGCTATATGAAACTTTTTAAAAAATATATATTTTATTGATTTTGTACAGAGAGGAAGGGAGAGAGATAGAGAGTTAGAAACATCGATGAGAGAGAGTCATCGATCAGCTGCCTCTTGCACACCCACTACTGGGGATATGCCCGCAACCAAGGTACATGCTCTTGACCGGAATCGAACCCGGGACCTTTCAGTCCCCAAGCCGACGCTCTATCCATTGAGCCAAACCGGTTTCGGCTATATGAAACTTTTTAAAGCAGAATCAAAACTCCTCTTGTGGAGACATCAAGTCCTTACAAAATGTAATCTTACATGAATAGTACCAATTTTACCACAAGGTAAAGAACACATTCCATTAAAAATGTTAAATTACATGAAAGTAAAATGTGCAAGCCTTCAAGGTGGCATAAAAAAACCCAAAGGTTAATGCTTTGTGGGGCACATGTCTCAGAGGGCTTGCAGAGTGGATGAGTAATTGACTTTCTGTTATGTTACATAACTGGTGACAGCATTGCAAATCTGCACAATCATTTTGGCTGTGGGTTACTTCAGTTGACCTTTGTAGAGGCTTTATCTGTAGAGTGGTTATTTGCTTTAACCTGTTAGAGTTCGGGGGTTTATTTTTCCACTGTGTGAAAGTAAGATTCTAATAAAGGAAAAGAGGTGTGCGAATGCCGAGTGGGCTGGTTTGGGATTGGCTTCTTTCAGTCAGGCTTTCAGAACATTGAAATGTTCCATGATAAATCCAGAACGTGGAGCCCTTCGATTCTAAAATCTCTTCTAAAAGTTCATGAAAACTATTACCAGTTCGTACTTTTCATAATGAAGGAGGAGCATTTGCCTACTTTATAATAAAAGATTCAGTTCTTTTTTTAAAGATGGACTTTAAAAATTGGGTAGTACAAATGACAGTAAGGAGTGAACCGCTTTTTATGGGCACCCTGTGGTTTATAGTTCTTGATCTAAACTTAAAATTGTATATGCCTTTGGAAGGAACTATAAGCCACCCCTAAGCTTGCGCTCAACAAAGAGTTGGGTGCATTATGAGAGTCCCAGACATTGTCCTCTTCCTTCTGAGTTATTTTGAAATGGTTCTTTTTTATTTTTGTACATTTTTTACTGCAGTATTGGTAGAACATAATTATGGGCAGAACTATAACATGGATCATCTCTACTTCTATATTTACTTATTTATTTATTACTAGACCTCAACCACAGTCTTCTTTTTCTCCTTCCACCTCTCTGCCTGTGGCCATGCACTTTGTATTACTATATTAGAAATTTACAAATCTGCTTTATACGTTTTATTTTGTTGGGTACTTATAATCAAAATTTTTATGAGGCTATTGAATAAGTTTAGTCTTATTAGAAAAAAATTATTTTTACTTATTATTTACTTATTTGAAATAAGTTTTTGTTTTTTTTTTCAGAGAGGAAGGGAGAGAGAAAGAAACATCAATAAGAGAGAATAATTGAGCAGCTGCCTCCTGCATGCCTCCTACTGGGGATTGAGCCCACAACCCAGGCATGTGCCCTGGACCAGAATCGAACCTGGGATCCTTCAATCCACAGTCTGACACTCTATCCACTGAGCCAAATCAGCTAGGGCAGAAAAAAAATTTTTTTTTTAATGTCTTTATTTTATCTTTACCTTTGAATGCTATTTTGACTGGATAGAGAATTCTAGATTAATAGGTACTAGTAGTCCTCCTATCATTTTGAAGATATTATTCCATTGCCCTCTAACAGCTACTGCTTGTGATAAGAAGCCAGATTTCTCCGTAAGTAATGTGATTTTAAGGCCATCCCTAATATTTGTAGAACCTGGGTTAAAATTACAAATGGAAGTCCATATATCATATGTCTAAAAATGTATAAGTTAAAAATCAAGCCAACAACTAGTTAAATAGTAGGTTCTACTCTTCTATCTTTATAACTATAGTTTAAATGTAGCTTTCCAAAGACCTAGATGGCCAAGCCTTGAACTTAGGATTCTTGGAATCCTTGGGGTTCCACAGTAGAACTTGGCAGGATAGGGAGAACTTAGCATCTGGGCTCCTGCCCTAAAGCACATCTTCCTTTCTTTTTCCAATCCTGGCTTCGTCAAACACTGGCTTCACACATGTACTGTGGACACTACACTTCCAAGCCCCACAAACAGCCCTCCGGGCCCCTTCACGGCTCTGAGGTGTGCAGTCTGTTCCTGGGGAGATGGACATGAGGAAGAGGCCAACGCAGGTCCTGGAAGTGACCTGGGAAGCCCAGGGTTCTGGGCACAGGGGATGTGGTTTGGAGGGAGTGGGTTAATTTTGGGTGGCTTCTTGATGTTGCAATAACCTCAAATAGGTCCACACTGTATCAGAGAGAAGTTTTTTTAAAATGCAAATCACAGCCCTATCCATTTTGGCTCTGTGGCTAGATCTTCAGCCTGTGGAGTGAAGGGTTCCAGGTTCGATTCTGATCAAGGACATGTATCTTGATTGCACCCCAGACCTGGTTGGGATGCGTGCAGGAAGCAACCAATAAATATGTCTCTCTCACATTGATGTTTCTCTCTCCTTGTCTCTCCCCCTCCCTTCCACTCTCTCTAAAAAGTCAATGGAAAAATATCTTTGGTTGAGGATTAACAAACAAACAAAAAAGTGCAAATCATAGTATTTATTCTCATGCTTAAAAAGTCATAAGGATCTCCCATTCAATCTATATAAATAAAAGGCCAATATGCAAAGTATCCCCTCGGGAATTCCACCAGGAGACCAGGAGTTTGAACTCGCTATGACATGTGCTGGCCATCAGGGGCAGTGCAGTATGAAGGAAGGCCCTGGTCAGCAGCCAGAAGGTCCCTATCCGCCCTGATTGCCAGCCAGGTTTAGGGACCCTACCTGTGCATGGATTTCATGCATCGGGCCTCTAGTTTGAAATAAAACTATTAAAAGGCTGCAAAGCTCTGGGTGGTACTTCAACATCTGAAGCTCTGTGGGAAGAGTTTGTATCCAAGATTTCTCTCTTTCTGAAACAAACTCTCCTTCCTAGTCTTCACATGGCTGACTTCTATCTACATTAATAAAAGAGGAAGATGCAAATTGACCATACCTTTGTGACACCCACCAGAAAATCAGGAGTGAGCATGCAAATTAACCCAACAAAGATGGAAGGTTAATTTGCATATGCAGGGGCCAAGCTGTTGGGGGTGAGGTGGGACACTTGTGTAGTCGCCATGGCAACGATGCAGGCATTCCGCACGGCCCCAGCAGCTCCGGGCCTCTGGGCCCATGGGAAGGCAGAAAGGCAGCTCCAGCCCGTGCAAAGGCGGTGCCGGCAGCCAGGGGAAGGAAGGCCTGATCTTGCACAAATCTTCGTGCATCAAGCCTCTAGTCTAGGGGTGTCGAACTCAATCAGAGAAGGGGCCAAAATCTAAAATCCAGCCTAAATCGCGGGCTGAATGGTTTACTGAACAGTCATAAACTGTCATTGTGATGGAAACGCAGCAGAGTGCAGTGATGACAGCGCGGTGCAGGCCACATTGCAAGGCCTGGCGGGACGGATTTGGCCCGCAGGCCTTGTGTTTGACACATGTGCTCTAGTCTATTATAAAATTCTTGGCGTAAATGTCACTTCTATGAATATACCTTCCTGGTTATTTGCTATCATTGCATTTTGTTTATTTCCTTCAGAGTACAAACACAAATTTATTTTACTTGTTTGATATTTCTTCCTCCAAATTGTCATCTACACTAGAGTGAATATCACAGATTTATCTAATTGTTTCCTCATAGTGTCATTCCATTTCTCCCAGGTAACATCACTTTTACTATTTCAAACCAATGAGGAAATCCCCATCTGAAACTACTCTTACTACCCTCATCACTACCCTGACACCCTTAGGTCATTCCATGAAATGTTCACTTAATATAAATTTATGTTGCTATGAAAAAATCTCCTACTAATACCCAGAAGAACATCCTGATTCATAGCCAATTGCAGTCAGAGTCCTTGCTTCCTGGAGGACCAGAGATCTCATAATTCCTACCAGAAACTGGTGGCTTCTTATTGAACAACTAGAGACCTAGTGCATGAATTCATGCATGGGAGGGGTTCCTCTGGGTGGCCTGCAGGGATCAGGCTGAAACGTGCAGTCCAATGTTGCCTGCAGCTCCTACCTGCTGCTCCCGCTCATCCCAGCCCCACTGTGCCTGCTGTGGACTCACACCCAATCAGTCGTTTGGAAGAGGCTCAAGCTGCCACAGCAGTGCTTGCCAGCCATGAGCCCTGCATCTGGCGCCCTCCCAAGGGGAGTGGCCTGAGGGATTGGGCTGAAACTGGCTCTCAGACATCCCCCGAGGGGTCCTGGATTGCGAGAGGGTGCAGGCCAGGCTGAGAGGCCCCACTGTGCATGATCGGGCTGGGGAGGGACTGTGGAAGAGCTCCAAGGCATGTCCGGCCCATCTTGCTCAGTCCTGACCCACCAGACCCCAGCAGCAAACTAACCTACTGGTCAGTGCATGTCATAGCAACTGGTTGAGTAGCCTTAGCATATCATTAACATATTATACTTTGATTGATTGTTCAGTTGTTCTGCTTTCCAGTCTATTTGCATATTACCTTTTTATTATATAGGATGTTGCTTTGGTGATGCTACTATATCTAAAAGAAGATGAAACTAGGACCACTGCTGATGAATAAAATAAAGAGGCCACTGTCAGTTCACATGGAAGTGTAGGAATTTTATATTTAAGATGCTCTTTCACCTGTCAGAAGACAAGGAAGCAATTCTAAACAGAGTCTATTGTATCACTTTTATGCATACAGGTGACCTTATATGAGAGTGATACAGACACCCATGAGAGGTGCTGTGCTGAGAAGGGTCTCATGCCTGGTCTAAGTAGCAGGGTAGGTTTGATTCTTTATGCCATCTGTTCAGCAGAGCATCTGCAGGTGAAGATATGACTCAGCAGAGAAGTCTACTTCAGGCAGGGCTAAGATTCTTGTTTATTTAAAGTGTTTGTATTGTAAAAAAAAATCAATAAAAACATACTCTCAGGTAAATATTAAAATAACTAGAAGTCTTTGTTTTGTTTTTAATTTTATTGATTTTCCGCAGAGAGGAAGGGAGATGGATAGAGAGCTAGAAACATCGACCAGCTGCTTCCTGCACACCCCCTACCGAGGATGTGCCCGCAACCAAGGTACATGCCCTTGAGCGGAATCGAACCTGGGACCTTTCAGTCCGTAGGCTGACACTCTATCCACTGAGCCAAACCGGTTTCGGCAATGCCAAGAAGTTTGAACTTTATCCCGTAGAGCCCACTGGGACTTCCCTGAAATAACTTTTTTTTTTTTTTTTTTTTATGAAGGTGCTTTGGTCTCTGCAGATAAGAGGCTGGGAGGGCAGGAAGCATCCCTTCTCTTGGCCTGACTCATGCATACTAAGAAAAGATTCGGGTCATTTGCCGTCTCAGGTCTCTTCCAAAGTTGACAGCCAGGTTCCTTGAGTTCTTCCATTCCCCGGGCCTGCGCTTCCCTCCCTCCTCATCTCGGTGCAGGTGTCACCTTCTCCCTCCTCCCTCCGTTCTCCCACAGGTGCTTTTCAGGCGAGTGTGCAGGTATGCGGGGGCAGCCTCTGGAGTAAAGTAAGCTCTCCTCCTCTGAGGCCCTTCAGCCCAGGCAGCACTACGGGGAGAGAAGTTTTTAGTCGCTTTTCTGCCCTGGTCTCTAGGGTAACGTCCCGGTTTTTAATAATTTGTCCCGAGGAGTTTTATTTATTTTATTTTTAAAAATATATATTTTATTGATTTTTTACATAGAGGAAGAGAGGATAGTTAGAAACATCGATGAGAGAGAATCATTGACCAGCTGCCTTCTGCACACCCCCTACTGGGGATGTGCCCGAAACCGCAACCTAGGTACATGCCCTTGACAGGAATGGAACCCGGGACCTCTCAGTCCGCAGGCCGGCGCTCTATCCACTGAGCCAAACAGGTTTCGGGTCCCACGGCGTTTTAAAAAAGTCCCGATTTCGCCGAAACCGGTTTGGCTCAGTGGATGGAGCATCGGCCTGCAGATTAAAAGGTCCCAGGTTCGATTCTGGTCAAGGCATGTACCTTGGTTGCGGGCACATCCCCTGTGGGGGGTGTGCAAGAGGCAGCTGATCGATGTTTCTCTCTCATCTATGTTTCTAGCTCTCTATCTCTCTCTTCCTCTCTGTAAAAACTCATTAAAAATATTTAAAAACATTTTTTCAAAGTCCCGATTTCCCTCCCCCCCCCCCCCCCCCCCCGCCCCAAGATCGGAACTTTTTAAAAACGCCGCGGGACAAATTGCTAAAAAGCGGGGCTGTCCCGCCAAAAGCGGGACGTCTGGTCGCCTTCCTCTAGGGGCGGCTGGTTGACCCACCACGGGCCACGCCACCCGGGAGGACAGCAGGAGTCCGCCCCTCGCGCGCCCCCGGTTCCCGGCCAGACAAAAGGCGGTGAGCTCCGCGGCCACCAAGCTCCGCCGGGACGCCCCGCCGCACAGCCGGAGGGCCGGGCTCCAACCTCCCGGCTGCCACAGACGCCGCGGGCCCGCGAACCCACCGCCCCGGAGCCTGCGAGGCCGCAGGGGCAGCTCCGCCTGGGAGCTCGCCCGCGCGCGCGGCGTCAGCGTCACGTGAGGCCGCCCGACCACGTGACCCGGAGCCCCGCCCCCCGCGCTCCCTGAGGCGGTCCTGGGTGCCGCCTGCCAGTGCGTCTCCTGCAGCCGCGCTCTCCGCGTCCCGCGGCGCCCCCGGCGGCTGGGCCCGGCGCACAGCGAGCGGCAGCGGCAGCGGCTGGCCTCCAGGCAGCGGGTGAGTCGCGGGCCTGGCTCGCCGAGGCCGCCCTCGCCCTCCCTTCTCTGCCCGCACCCCGCCGCCTGCCGGGCCGCGCGCCCCGTTACTCCCGCGCCCTCCCTCCTTTCCTCCGGCGGCGGTTCCGGTCCGCGGTCCGCACTGTCAGCACCTCCGCTAGCATTTCTTGCAGGGGTAGGAGGAGGGGGGGCTAGGAAAAGTTTTCCGTGCGCCCTCTCTTTTTTGAGCTGCAGGGACGCGGCTTTGCCCCTGGCTGGAGTCTGTCGCAGTTCTGACAGACACCCCCCTGGACCCTCCGCGTCCGCATCCGGCCCTTCTAGAGTCTAGAGTCTGAGAGCTTAGCATCCCCTCCTTGGCCTCCGCGGGGTAGGGTAGTGGTGCCACAGAGCATAGTCTTCACTTTCCCCCTCCCCCTCAACACGGACTCCACAAAGGACTGTCACATAGTAGGGGCCTTGATCCAGGTGTGCGAGTAGCTGGGTGAAATGACATTTCCCTTGTCCTGCCTCAAATGAACTACCTGTTCTAGTTAAATGAGGCATGCTCTGTTCTTCCATAAGTGGCCTTTGTTTATGTTTATTTCACGCGAGACACTCCGAAGTCATCTGCTGCAGAACTTTCTGCAATTGGGGTTTGCAGTTTTATAAGTCAGTATTGTAATAATGCTTGGAAAGCCTAGATTCGTTGTCTTATTTGTCCTTGGCCTATTCTTTTTGGGGAGAGAATTAAAAAAATTTGGAGGCAAAAACTGATTTTCTGAAGCTGGTGTGCATTGTGGGATCATAGCATCAAAACATCAAAGTAAATAACGCTGAAAGGAATGGAAGAATGACTTAACCCTGAGGGTAGTTTACAGTGTGCTTTACACTTCAGTAAGTATCCATTCGAAGTGAGCACTGGCTAAATTTCACCTCTTTGAACTTCTCTCGGGTTGAGTATGTAACTGTATATTTAGATTCTATTAATATAGCAGTTAATCTAGGGCCCAGATATCTTTTAATCCATTGTGTGAATACCAGTCTTATTTATTAATACTTTTAGACAGTCTACCCTCTAGTCTCTTTTTCTTAAAGAGGAAGGATATTAGTCATTAAAAAGATTTCCGCAGTGATTGTGTGTGATCCAAACGATCCAGTTCTGAGAGATTCAGAAAACAGCATAAAAACCAAAGCTATCAAGTTTCAAGCTTAATTTTTTTTTTTAAAAAAAATCAGAATTAAAGAGTGCCTGCATGTTCCAGCAAGAGCTTAGCTCCATCTTAATAATCAGCAGCTCAAGCTGGAAAGCCTGAGACAGTGTTCTTTATCTGAACGTCAGTGTGGTGATAAAACTGAAGAAGTCAAAGACCTTTATTATTACTATACTATTACTTCTGTGTGTACTGCATTCAATGTCATGCATGGGAAACAAGCTTTGGGCCCTCAAGGACACACTAGAGTCTAGGCTGGGCCTCAGGACACACTTTTTTGATATTCTGGTTAAAAAAAATCTGAAAGTGTTTCATATTGTGTATGTGTTGAGGAATTCACAGAAGACACATGATGACTATTATTTGAAGTTTACCAGAATAGACTTCCTTGAGGAGGTCAGTAAATCAAATAATTATCTAAATCAATTATCTACTGTATGAACTTAATTTTCGAAAATTTCCAAGTGCATTAAGTCCACAATATAGAATTACTTTTTTAATTTTGCAAAGAAAAAATAAGATTTAGAAAACATGAAGCAGAAAGAAAAATGTGATTATACTATCTTAAAGCAACAACAGTTAACATTTTTGGGTATAAGTCCTTTTTACTATGCATATTTAATGGATTGCCATATTCAGGTAGTGAGATTTCAGATTATAAGGGATACTATGATATCCAAACCTTAAACTAGGAGAGCCAAGAGCAGAAGTTTGAGTATTGAAGAACTTAGCCAAATCTCTTTGATTCTTGAGTTTAGATAGAGTTTGGATAGCAAGAGTTCAAATAGCTGGAGATACTTCTATATCTTTTTTCAGTGTTATATATACACTTTTAAAAATGAGATCATACTCATGTATGCATAATAAGTTAAAAAGTTTGAAATGGCCCCAGGAGATGCGGAATCCCATCCAGGGAGACTGTACTCAGGCCATTCTTGAAGAGTAGCATCTGTCTTTCCCACAATCCCAAAAAATATTCCTCAGATTAGCAGGGGGAAAATCTTTGCTGAGATATTCTTTTCAGTGCTTAAGGAAAAATTCTAGTTTGGGAAATAGGCAAAGCCTATCCTCTCTCTAGTGCCTCAGTCCTGAACTCAAGTGATATAGGGGAAAGGTCCAGTGACATTGTTTACAGCGGTGGTAGTGTTTCCAAAGATGACTATCGGCAATACTTCCCTGAACGTGACTACCCTCCTGCCATCCAGAGATGGAGTCTGTTTCTGCTCCATGTGAATGTAGTCTGGCCTTGTAACTTGTTTTGGCCAATAAAATGTAGCAGAAGTGATATTGTATCTGTTCTGGGTGTAGTTTTTTAAAGAGGCATGCAGCTCTAGCTTTCACTCTCTTGGAAGCCAGTCAGTAAGTGTAGAGGCTTGGAGGCTTGGCCTAAGCTAGGTGAGGAGAGACCACCTGCAGTGGCCCAGAGAGCTATGCCTGTTTCAGCCCTGTTAAACTCCCCCAGTGCCTGTCACCTCATGAGGAATCCCAGCTGAGTCCAGTCAAAACACAGGGCTGAGGGATAGAACATTGTTTTAAGCCGCTGAGTTTTGGGATGGTGTATTATTCAGCCAAAGATAACTGAAAGAGAAGACCAAGATGCTGGCATAGATAAATACTGGTACTTGCCGCCTCCTACAACCATATCAAGTTACAACTAAAATACAGAACTGCCTGAAATCTGGCAGAATGGAAGTCCTGCAACTAGAGAAGTGAAGAAGGTCCGTGGAGATTGGTAGGAGGAGCGGAGGCACAGGAGGGGCTCGTCCAACACCCATGTGTGGTGGTTTTTAAATCAGGAGGGAGTAGCAGGGGGTCCCAGCCCCACACCACCCCTAGCCCAGGGTTCCAGAACTGGGAAGAGAAGTCCCCATAACTTTGGACTATAAAAACCAGTGGATATTGTGGTTGAGTGACATGGAAGCTGCTGGAGTCCCACGTGTTCCTCTTAAAGGACCAGTGCACAAACTTACATGGTCCTGCTTCCTCTGAGCTCCAAACGGCGACGTTGGGAGAATCCAGGGACATACGGGGAGGAACTGAACTATCTGGTATCAGATAGGAACTTGGGGATGGCTTTCTCCCAGACTGGGGCACTCACAGGATTCACTGTTCTTGTCCTGGGACCTCCACCATCGCACAGCTGACTGGCAGACTTACCTGAATTTCCATCAGTGTGGCTCACATGATTCCCAGTTATTCCACCCTATCCAATCTGTAGCCACACCCAATTGTTTATTATTTGTATATTAGGGGCCCAGTGTACAAATTCGTGCACCTTGAAAGGAACTGTGGGCCACAAGGCTGCGGTGGGCACGGGCATCGGCCCATCCTTCGCACCCCGGCCTGGCACCTTCCTCAGTGGCTCCCAGGCTCCTGTCTGCTGGTAGCCCTGCTCCTGCCTCCGCTGCTCCCACACACTGATGGTGCTGGCCCTTATCGCACCTACTGAAAGCGAGGAGTGATGGGAGCTGGTGCCAGCAGCAGGTGTGAGTGGTGGCAGCTGCCCCAGTCACCCCTCCGGAGCAGGGGGAGGTGGAGAAGCCCTCAGGGGCGATTGGTGCTGGCAGCCACCGCTCACACCTGCTGATGGTGCCAAGCGATCAGCCCCGGCATCAGGTGCCAACGGCAGGAGTGAACTGAGGCTCCAACACCGGCTGCGGGTATGGGTGGGGCCGGCACCGGCAGTGGGTGCAAGAGGTGGCTCCGGCCCTGGTTGCCCCTCAGCAGCAGGGAGTGTGGAAAAGCCCTGAGGGGCGATCGGAGCGGGTGCCAGCAGCGAATGTGAGCGGCAACTCCGGCGATAGCAGTGGGTGTGAGGGGCCGGAGCTGGCAGGAGGTGTGCGGGCCGGTGAGACCGTGGCACACGGGAGCAGAGAATTTTCAGTAACCACCAGAGGCTCGCCCCGATGACAGGGACTGGCGCTCTGCCTCGGTCTGGCGCCCCCGCTCACCGGTTTCACCATCCTGCCGTGGCCGAGCGCCACGTTCCACGCTCTGCTGCCTGTTGCTGGCACCTGCCTTGTTCTGCGAACTCCCTCTGGTCATAGTGACCGGTTGTTCGGTTCCACCGTTCGGTCTATTTGCCTATGAGGGTTTTATATATATAGATATGATTGTTGTTATCAGTCTTACGTTAATGTTTTGTGATATGATTCTGACACGTTTTAAAGGAATTACCCGGTATTGTAATGACAGATGTGTGGTGTTTCTTGCCGTTTATATTTGATGAATTTAGCACCTGATGATTGTAGCGTAAGTCCTTACAGTACAAATGTCAGATCTGCTCTAGCATGTGATTTTTAAAAAAATATATATTTTTAGCTGAAACCGGTTTGGCTCAGCGGTAGAGCGTTGGCCTGCGGCCTGAAAGGTCCCAGGTTCGATTCCGGTTAGGGGCATGTACACTGGTTGCAGGCACATCCCCGGTAGGGCGTGTGCAAGAGGCAGCTGGCGGATGTTTCTCTCTCATCAACGTTTCTAGCTCTCTATCCCTCTCTCCTCTTCTCCTCCTCTCTGTAAAAAATCAATAAAATATATTAAAAAATATATTTTAATTTTATTTTTTTTTACAGAGAGGAAGGGAGAGGGATAGAGAGATAGAAACATTGATACGTTGATAAGAGAGAAACATTGATCAGCTGCCTCTTGCACAGCCCCTGCTGGGGATGTGCTCGCAACCAAGGTACATGCTTTGTACAGGGCATGACATGTTTGCTTTGTTCTCAGTGGTCAAGGAGAGTGAATCTGATCCAACTGTCACTTATAATGTGTTTGTTACAGGATTTTAAACACAAAAATGATGGATTTTTCAGGTACACTTTTGTCATTAGTTTTAAATGAGAAAATCCTCTGAGCAACTTCCCATTCAAATTCTGGTTAGATCAGTTAAAAAAACAAACAAACAAACAAGCCGTTTGTTTGACAGCGTCCCATGCGCTGAGGAGTTGCTGGTTCAGTTCCCA